GGAAGACCTTTCAGTGGGATCCTCTGAGCTGTGATGTGAGAGCTAATGTGTGATGCAGGTGAAGGTTTGAGGCTGTGCTCACATGCTCTGCCTGGATAAGCCGTCATTACTCAAAGCTACAGCGCATCACTTCTTCTGACGTAAATAAACACTATCCCTGACTCAGTGACTCTACCCTGCATATAATCCTATCTTCTCAGGCGCATTAACATGTTTATGTAAAAGAAGAATCCGCTTGGACTGTTTGTGTTTTAGGAACAACACACTCTTTTGCCCTGAACATGTCTGTTGCCACGGTAACAGTGCAATATTCTGACACTAAGGTGGAGAATGTTTCTCTTCACAAATACACGTGATGATTGACGGCGTGTTTCTGTGCACGTAAATAAAAAACGGGTGATTTTGCTGCTCTCCTTCTTTGATCCTCTTCCTCTCTTTGCTTTCTAATTCCTTAATTCCTGTCTGGCAGTGTGTTGCAGTTTGAGCGGCTCCTCTGTCGCAGTGAATCCTCGCCGTCTGACTGTGTGTGTGTGTGTGTGTCTCTGTTTCTGCTCTTCAGCTTCTCTCTTATATTTGCTGCAGTGCTTTGATTTCGAGTTGGAAGGCTTTAAGCTCATAGTGACAACGAGAGGGCACACTTTCGCACGCACACACACATATGCTCGGACACATGGGAACACACACTTTTAAAGCTGCTGTGTGTTTGAAAAAAGCTCAGCTGTACATGCATGTGTGTGTTTATGCCCTTTCTGACACCTGAGGCTAAACCAGTTTCAGTACTTGATGAGATGTCTCATCACATACACAGATGCAGTATGAACACAACCTGAGTCTCTCCTCTCATGCCGACACTCACACATCAACAGAGTGTCAGAAGCTGTAGCATCAAACGGGCTTGAGATTGAGTCTGAAGGGGTGACAGGAAATGATCCATGTCCAGGCTAGCTGCTGGCTACCATTCGATGCATTCATTAGGGTGAATTTGTCAGCATGCAGCATTGATCTGTCCAGTTAATTGAAGTGTGCATTGTTAACTCATCACTGGTAAGGTGGCCTATGGCTTTGTGATGCGCTTCTCTGCTCGATGGTGTTTAATGATGAAGGTAAGACACAAGGAGGAGAGTACAGGCGGAGAGTTTCCTGTTTCCTGGTATTTAACCTTGCTCATGATGACTGACATGCGCCCTGGTGAGTTATCAGATCACCACATTATGAAATTGAGCTGAGCCAAATGTGGGCTAGATATGCGGTCAGGTGTTTCAGTGAGGACATGCAGGGCGGGGGGTTTAACTGCCCTGCAAGCCCCTGGACTCTGATCTCAGACAGGTGGAAAATTGTCCCCAGAAGCAATCTTTGAGTGAGTACTGGAGTAATGGCAAAGGAATGGAGATACAGTAGCGGTGGACCACACGTGGCGAGCTAGTGCTTATGAGACCTTATTTGTAACGTGTGTTCGATGCTGTTTCGCTGTGTTTTTGACATTTCATTAAATGTTTGCTTTCACACAATGGTGATCGGGATGTTTTGCTATTTAAACATCTGACCATAGCATGCTTTTAAGCATACATTTTATTTCTTGATTAAAATCTATAAGTTTGATATATTTTTTGTGCAAAAAAAGAATTGAATTGTGTTTTATTGAGAGGATCCTGATGGTGCTGATTGACAAGGATCCTAAGAGAGGGACAGGGGACGTCCCGTCTGGCGGAGACGCTGTAGCCCCTCCTCCTCGTCTGTTCTCTCTTTATTCAGGCAGGAGGATTACAGCAAAGAAAGCAGCAAAGCAAGCACTGAAGGGATTATGGCACAGCAGCAAAGGTATCAGAGCCGCCCCTCAGCACAGCAGCGGACCCCTGTGGCCCGTGTAAGAGACTCAGGCCTGGGTTAGAAATAGTTGCTCCTCTGCCAGCTGCTGCCGCACAGCTCTTCCAACATCCCACAGAGCTTCTTCAGTTTTGACACGCAGAGCTGCCAAGACTTCCCAGCTCTCCCTCGTGGCTATTTGCTGTTCATTTGGACCTTCGTAAAGCAGGCAAAGGGATGAGCAAAGACAAAGCCACACAGGGGATTTGAACTCTGGCTCTCATTTATGGATTAGAGGCAGGACTTATTAAACAGTTTCAGTCTGAGATCCAAATAAGACATTTGGTCCATGACATCCTGACCCTGGGAAATGAAAACGTTTGCTTCTGCTCTGATGTTGAGACCCCCATCAAAGCAGGTCCTTGACCTTTATGAGGAAAGAATCAGCTGAAAAAGGCAGAGCTACAAGTCATGGTTTTATCTGGAGGTGGCCCAATGCTGGGAGCTTCTCTCTGAGGAGCTGGCTGGAGGCTGACTATTTCTGTCGCTCAATTATCTGAAGCGCGCACTGTAACTTTAACTGCAACGATAATTCAAATAATAAATTGGGTGACTGTCATTTAAAATAGTTGCAGACGTTTCTTTTGCAAACAGTACTCCAAATAAGTCTATTGTTAAATGTTTATTTTCTAATAGTATACAGTATTAAGGGTAGGACAAATTGAGCAATTTGATGACATCAACTTAATTTTAGGAAATGTTTTTGTGACATTTTATCCCAGATTAACAATTGATTGAGAAATAAAATTCTACATTAAATTGTATTATCTAGATTTATCTGTAATCATTCAAAAGAAAAAAAAAACAGATCAATCAATAGTGATAATATCTATTGACAGCAGACCTGGATGTCTACAAAATACATTTCACTTTTTTTGTGAGGCTTTATCGATACATAATTGATTTTCTTTGTTTCTTTTTCTCAAGTTACTTTACAATAATCACAAATGTTCTCTAAATATAATATATTTTGCCATGGGACTAATCTGTTTATGTAAATCGGGTAGGTAGCTGTCCATTTATGTCCTAGTTATTACAGCATAAATATTCATGTGAAACACAAACGAGAGGCCTCATTAGAGAGGACTTCACACTCTGTAGTTGTTGTGTTTAACGCACACCAATCATTGACAGTCTGCATCTTGCACACAGCGTGACAGCGTGTGAAGCAACAGGAAATATGCTTGGATTTAATGTTTCACTTGACTTTTAAATAGTTATTGAAGCAAGGGTACCAACATAAGCATTATTTTGCATAGAACAGATGGGCAGTTGCAGATGTACCCTATACCAAATGCACATAAAGTGAGGAAAGACAGCTGGGTGATTGGTGGAAATAGCCTTGATAATCTCAATTAGAATTTTTAAAAAGGCAGGTTTCCACTCAGCTGAAATCCTCTGTTGAATGTCGTGAATTAAGAACCCATTATGTTTATTTGAGGTGAAATCAGCAAACCAATCAAGGTCATACAGTAGCAGGCAGACTGTCATCTTCTCTATTCACATATGCAAATGTGATTATATCGTTATTAATCAAAGCAGTCACTCAAGTCAGATAACAAGCGGGTCGTTACATCCGTTGTTACCCCTGTGATTTAATATGATGACAAAGAGCTATTCTTATAACCTGGCACCATAACAGATTCTATCCCCGGCCTCTTGCAGTAGCAGTTTACAAAGTGTTGATAGGCATATCGTACATGGCTTAGGACGGTGATGCATTTGACTAGATCCACACAGGACCTGAAGAATATTTTCGAGGGTGTTACACAGTCACAAGATGCAGGAATACCGGTTCAGGGCAGTATACAATGTTTTGTTTAGATTAGCTGAGGCCCACGTCAGAAATGATCATGCCTGTCATATGCCTATCTCCATAGAGGCTGAATCATCATGTTAGTCCTGTTGCTCTTCTAGCTAATCATACATCCTGTCATGTACGCAGTCACAGTTGGGCCTTTGTTATCATGTGCTACTCTGATAATGGAAGACCCCAGCATATGTTGTTTTAAGGCATATTTTGGACATACTATGGCTTTTTTCATATTTTCGACATACATGCTATGTCTTTAATGCATATTTACGACATACTACTATGCAGTTGTTTTTCAAATTTTTGATATTCTATACTACGTCGTTTTATGGCATATTTTCGACATTCTATACTGTGGCTTTTCTTTGCATAAACACAGTTTAGGATGCTGAAAATATGTAAGAAAAAAATAAAACTACATAGTATATGGTGCTGAAAATAGGCAAAAAACTAGATTTAGTATAGTAAGTCTAAAATGTGTCAAAAACCTGACAAAAGGGCACAGTATAGTGTGGCAAATAAATGCATAAAACGCATAGCAGAGCACGTAAAAAGAAAAGCGTGTATACGTTGTTTCGATGGACTTTCTTTGTTGGGTGCTTTCCCAGATACCAACAGAGTTCTGATGTGCAAGGAGGTTGGATGGAGGAGATAGCATGCGACATGCAGAGGTAAAATAAAATCACACTGGCTCCAACAGTCCAGCATCTACCTCTGTAGCATTATGGTAGTAAATGTGATACAATTGTACGGGTTAACCAAATGGCGTGCCCCTGGTCTGTGACAAAGGTACTTTCACTTCAACATTTGTTCATACAATCATTAATACTAGTTGGACACATTATTCTGAAAGAGATATGAATTACAGGACTCGAGCTATGAGACATATTTGACCCCGGCCAGCATGAGCCATTAGTTGATCATACAGGTTGAAACCTTCCAGTGAAGCCGGCCTTTCTTTGCCCACTGTGTAGAAAATGCAATACACACAACAGATACATCTTTAATTTGAGCTTTCCTAGGACTAATATTGAAACTGCTACAGCAGATGGAAATGAATAAACTAAAATGTAAAATTCACAAGTACTATAATCTAGTAAAGAAATTCAAAAAACTCTGTCATGAATATTTTGAGGGAAAGTCAATGGAGACATTTTGTATCTCCAGGCAGTCACATCTGCTAAACTGAGAGTGAATGTGTTTACTTTAGTAAAACAAATGAAAGCAAAGATACATTTCACCTCTTTTCATACTCTCTGCAAGAATTCACATCTAAAACAGTTTAATGACGTGGATCTCTCTCTGAAACAAAGAATATTTCCAGTTACAGAGTATGTGCTTTTTTTCCTCCCATTTATTCTTTTTTTTAACCCCAGACAATAACAGCAGTACATTGTCAGAAACATGGTTGTTACAATAACAGCTGGCTAAGACAGAGAAACACTGCGATTCAGTACATTATTGCATTGGAGGAAACCACCATCTGACATGTGAACATTTACACTGTTGAGAAGAAAGACGAGATGAAAAGGTGGTTGGACGAGTGAGGGAACTTAACATTATTTTGCAACAGCTGGTTGAAAACACTCATACAATTCCAGTAGTTAATACAGATTGATAAAGCCAGGAGTACAGGGGGCTTGGGAGAGCGAGAAGACGTTTCAGTTTCGTACTTACATAGTGTCACTGCTTAGTATAGACGCATCGTTCAGAAGGGGGTCTCATTCTCAGAGGTAATGGAGCAAAAATGCCGGGACAGTTCAACTTTATTTGTGTGCTTTGATTAGTCCATCAAAGCTGTATTGATGTTTGGGGAAAGTAGGCTGTCATATATTTTCTGCTCGTTCACTGCATAACAGGGAGATGTGACGCTTCCTTTCCTACTGTCATTACTATGTGAGCTAATTATTTATCTACTTTCACTGGTGGTCAGGGTGGCGAAATATTCAATTTAGCATTGATCACTTCCAGGTTCAAGACATCCAAATAATTGAGAAGTCTGGCATTTGTGGAATCGGTTGAATCTTGTCAGTTAAATTCAGGAACTGTAATGTTTGACATCCGCGCAACACCACTGAGAGGTGTGTTTGTTTGTATCTAGGCAGCAGAAGGGCTGGGAGTGTTAGTACAAATATGTTTGCATCAGTGCGTGTTATGAATATTGAATTGCTTTTAGGAGGTATTTAATTCTCGAGGTGCATTATTTTAAGGACTGGTTGACTTGTGAATTTGCTTGCAGACAGCCACACTAATTTATGCAAACACACACATTAGAAATATAAAGCCGAGCGCTGCTACTGGTAGTCTCCAGAGCCTGTTATTAGTCCGGCTAATTTCACATCATTTGACAGAGAATTCATTTAAAAATCCATCAGCAGAGCCGCAGAAAATACCACCACACGCCTCCATTACACCACCATGTAATCCCATTTTCACCTAGCCTTAAAATCCCCTTGCAGTCAGAAGACCGTTCACCATAATCTCTCCTGGTTATTAAAAGATGGACGAGCTGCGCTGTGAAAGCTTTTTGAAATGAGAGACCATAAAAGAAAGATACTTTAGCAGCCTGTGATTTAACACTTTTAAAATCCAGCAGATAGAGCTCAATTGGTTTTAGATATACTTCAAAAAAATAACATGACTAATCCTGTTAGTTTGTCTCCAAAATGGCCGACAGCTTCATGGGATTTAAAGACAGGTGTGAATGGGGAAACATTTCCATCACCAGCGAAGATCTTTCCAAAAGTAAACCATCTACTATTTCTGATACAGTAGCAAAACACTTTAAACATCTGGCCCTGAAACAGTGCTTTGATCTGTTGTGCTTCTCTCATTGTGTTAATATTTGTATTTATTTTCCGTAAGATGTGTGCTTCATTGTCTTTCGAAAGAACAGTACATGTTTACCCTACAAAAGTCAGTGACGCTCAGAGATCAGTAATGCCAAGGCGAGCATACATAGTTCTTGTCCTAACCCAAGAAAAACATTAATATAAAGTTTCATCTACACACTTTGAATATATTAAGCAACATCAACAGCATATCAATGGAAATTGTGACATTTAATTGCAAGTAGATGTTAGAACCCTGTTAGTTACACATGATCAGCTCAGTTTGTAGTACATCACATTTAAGACTAGTGAGATGAGCAAGTAATGGAATGTATAACAATTCAAATATAGGTCTTTCTAAGATATGTTATTCTCCACAAGTTGACAGGACATTAAGAGATGTACTGAAATACTAATCACCACGCCTAAGAGATAATATAGTTCGATTAGTGGTACAGTTCATTAAGGAATCCCCATCAGATTCATGTATCAGGATTGTCAGATAATCTATTTACACCAACGTGTTGTGTGCAGCTTGTGTGCAACAGATAAGTGTTTTTACCTCCCCCCCCTCCCCCCCCTCATCATTCAGAGACTTTAATACCTCCCTCTACTCCTCAATCTCCAGTATCAGGTCGCCTCCTTCGAGGGAGGCGTCAGCCCTGACATGCACCGCCTTGATGGTGCCGGCTAACGGGGAGTTGACCACGGTCTCCATCTTCATGGCAGAGAGGACACACAGTGGCTGCCCCTTCTCCACCTTATCACAAACACAGGTCAGAGCATTAAGAACACTTGACAATGCACAGATCACTGAACTGCACTGTAGACAGAGGTAAACCAGACTCGAGCTTAGGACACACTTTAGAATGACATATGCAAGTGGGACTTTAGCATATTAGCCTACTAGCTTACATACAACCCATACAATTGACTGAGGTTCACTAAAAGTACAAAGAAATAAGATGATCCATGCATGTAGTTAAGGTGTTAAAAAGTTCATCTTGAAGTGTTGTAAGCATCACAAGCTATGCAGGTGTAGAGCTGCAATCATTGGTTCACCTGGTTAATAGCAGCCTCTCTAATATGGAGATTTCCTGCATTTTCTGTTTAATATCATATAAGTTAATATCTTTAAGTTTTGGACTAAAAAGATGTGGAAATGTTTTACTACTAACAAACCATTTATAGACCACATGATTAGCCTAGAACATAATGGGCTAAATTATAATGAAAATATTCACGAGTTGCAGCCTTTATGTATACAGTCTATGGTTGCAGCACATATATCGATCGGACAGTTTATGACTCAAATCAGACTTTCACTAACATTATGGGAGTTTGGTTTTTGTATAATCTCTGACGATTTGCCTTTTTACATAACAAAGCATCTTATGAATTGTCCAAAGAGAGGAAACCAACAATTAGCAGCTTTTGTAGCTGTACTGATAACCAGCAGGCATATTTGTGTTAGATATATAAACAATATATATATTCTAATTAAAAACCTCTTTTTAATTCCAAACTCTCTTAATGTTGGATAAGTAGGTGACCAATAACAAGACCTTCATAAAATACAGTTTGATTTAGCACAATGAGGATTTAAATAAGCAGCTCTAAGGGTGGAGATGGAATAAAAAGCAAACTGTCTGCACTTGTCGAGTTAAAGTCGTGAGATGTGATGATAGACTCACCTTGGATCCAACTTCCACCTTCACCTCCACAACTTTTCCAGGCATGGGCGCTCCCACCTGACCCTTGATAGACTTCTGAGCCTTGGGGTGGAACTTCATTTCCTGGGTGGAGGACAAACAGAGACTTCATGCATCATCTGTCCAGTCATTCATTCAGCCAACGTCTCACGGGACATTGGAACAGACCTCTGTGCTCTGCATCCTCTACACTACTCATTGGTCTCAATAAAAACACCTGTGCACTGTCAGGATTCTAGTAGAGGATATCATTTCTTTCACTTCTCCCTTTTCCATCCATTCATTATTCACCTGCAGAGATACATATCCCATCTCTCCCTCATCCATCATTTATCCAGCCAACAACCTATGCCCCCCCCACCTCTGTGTACCTTCATGGCGACAGTGTCTTTCACCAGCACAGATCTCAGCTGTCCGTTCAGTTCAAAGAAGACTTCCCTCTGGCCTGCCTTGTTCAGGTCCCCCAGAGCGAGGGCCTTGATGTGCAGGATCTTTCCTCTCTCCAGCTCCACCTGAGGAACAGGGCCAGAGAGAGAGAGCCGGAAGAAGAGAGAGGTGGGACACAAATGAGATTATGTTAGAATATTAAGATGAAAACATGAGTGCCTAGCACACGAGTCCAGCTGAAGCAGTCAAAGAGAGACAGAGCTTGGTGAAAATAAAAAGTCAAGTTAGTGGAGCGAGTTGAGCACAATGTTTCTCTCCCGCTGAGCTGGAGTGTTGCACAGCATGCTCTTGGTGAAGGAGAAGAGACTTAGACAGATTGATGAGTACCAATTAAATACATGTTTAATGGCATCTTATCTCTGTATTTCACACCAATAAACTGCATAACATGTGCGGCCATCTGCTCTTATCAGCTACCCATTTGTATTTAACTGTCCAGAAATCTAATTTATCTCAATCTATTAAACATTGAGTGAAAAATGGGAAGCTTTCCAACAGGCTTTTTCTCAAAGATAATATACTCAGAATAGGAAAAACACAGGTGTCTCTAATAACATGGATGGCAGAGTTTCAATGTGATTTTAAGCTTCTATATGTTTGTTTTTTAGGCAGGCCATATGATTATTTAAACATTTGCATTGATCAGAGTTTCTCAGTTGTAATTGTGACTAAGGTATTCATATGAGCACTGCTTAAAGTCAGAGACATGAACTCAACGCAAGGAAACTGAAGAAAAAGCTAAATGGAATCCAACCATCATTCACTTTATAATACAAAATGGGCCTTTTCCTTTGTTATGTGACCAAAACATTATGTTCAAAAAGACCAAATATCGGACATGAAACATGTCAACTATCAATAACTGAACTGACTACACTATGCATGTGTGCTGCGTTCATGTGGCATCTGAATAATCAGAAAATGTAGTTTCTGACAGGTGGACAACAACTCGGAAACAGAACCTGTTAAATGGACCATCAAAGGAGCAAAGAATGCAACACTGGCCTCGGGAAAGGCAACATCATCTAGTTTTAGTCCTGATGTTGAAATATGGATAACCTATGCCAAAGCTGCAGTGCCTCGAATGGCGCCTTATTGGTTGGCTCTATAGGGAACAATCTCTATAAACCAATAAATGAGACGACCAACTTTACAAAAGAAATAAACATTTTTTAACCCTGGTTTAAAAAACCGCTAATTACCCACTTCATGATAAATGCTACATCAAACAGAGTATGACAATGACAACGAGAGACAACGAGACAAAACACTTCTCCAGAGTTGAGTCCACCTGTAATCTCTGTTAGTTAGTCTCCAGACTAAGCCCTCTCTCCTCCCTCCTCATATCATTCTGGTCACTGCTGCGTTTTTCCTTTGACACCAGCCACTGTACTATTTATCTCACGCCTCGCCTCATATCTCATCTCACCGGTCGGAAACTCATTTTTTTTCCATCCTACCATTTGTCCAACTTTCCCTGTCAGGCTTTCAATCTCTCTCTTTGTCAGTCCTCCCGTGTGTCAGCTTTCCGTTGTGTATTGTTATTTTTCTCCCCATTTCTGGAGCCACACTGTTTGTCATGCCGTTGTTAATTTCCCTCATCTGGCCCCTTCTGCCTCTCTTCTCTTTTATCCGTCTGTGTCAGTCGACCCTTCCCCTCTCATCTTTTTTGTTTCTCACATTGGCATCTCTGCTGCTGAGTCTCCATTGATATTCCAAACTAAGTCTCAGTGCGAAGACGGAAATACACTCTGCTGCAGGTATGTATTGATCTCAATTTCATTCTGCATCTCTCTTCCTGTGGAAGCTCTGACTCTTCATCTATTTTCCTCACTCAGTATCTGGTAATAAAAGCTTTCTTTGCATGCCTTTGCTCTCTCTCTGGCACTCAATCTTCATCTCTCTGTTTCTCTCCAACTTATAAGGTTTTGTCAATCTCCTGGCAGCCGAAAAAACACAACTGCCTTCCCTTCCGACAGTCTTCAACCACAACACTACATCTCCTCACAACCGCTCACATGAAATATACAGTATGCACCTCTTTGAAAAGTTGCACAACATTTATGAAGCTTTTAAGGGTGTTTTTGCCTAAGTTGAACCCGTTTGTACGTAAGCTAGTTTTAAACGGAGCTAAAACACGACTTCAGGGCACTTGTTGATATTTATGACAGCAGAGTTGCATGAGGACAACCTCTTCCCCGGCAGTCGGCTTTAATTACTAATTTTTGGTCCAATTCCACGGCTCATTAAGATTTTTTACCAAAACATTCAAGCAGTCATTTAACAAATAATAGAGTAGAGATATAACTCAGACTCAAGGTCAAATTCAAGTCATGATTATTGATCACTTGCCGATGTGTCACTTCCTAACCTCACCTTTTAAACAAACGGCACTAAAAGGATTCAACATATACAGTTCTATCAAAGCAGCCATATTCCCCCTATTTGCTTTTAGTGCCATACTTGAGATGTAATCTCTTGTGCATTATGTATGTTTCATATCTATATAGCCCTCACATTTCTTCGCAGATTGTTCCCCTCCAGCGCAGAGCTTTTCATGTCATATTTAACTGCTTAACCTTTTGCTGCTATAAAACATCTGAAACAAGTTTCCCAGTATGCCTTCGATCTGACTTCATTAATGACGCGTGTTGTCAGTGACAGAGTAATGAGATCAGCGCCATGTGTTGGTGTCGGTGGACATTAGCACTGACAGGGTGTGTATGACTGGCTCCATGTTTGTGAAATCTGTTTATATTTCCATGATTAATAGCACACCGAGTCATCAGCACATGCCAGCTAGGTTGATGTCTTTTTCACCTCCTGTGTGTGTGTGTGTGTGTGTGTGTGTGTGTGTGTGTGTGTGTGTGTGTGTGTGTGTGTGTGTGTGTGTGGGGGGGGGGTGAAGGACAGCGATGGGTGGACCTGTCATCCATTCATATGTGTATGCCCTCAAATGGCCCTCAGATACTTTAGTTACAAAGTGTTTTTTGATCCTTTAAAAGGCTATTCATACATGGGCGAATGTGGTGGTATACAACTCAGAATCATTACAGAAATGATGGAATTTAAATGTTCAACTGTATATCAAAGTCTAACCCCTAGTTACAATACCTTTGTGAAGAAAAAAATGCAGAAAACTCTTAATGAATTAAAGTAAACGGGGTAGTACTCTCAATGCTGAAGTCGTGAGCATAGGACTCACTCAATTCGGTTTGGATTATACTGCATAGGTTGTGTGACATTTTGCAAAGAGATGTTTTCATATCGTTTTTCTGTTGTTAAACTCAGACCCCATTACTTCTCAAGATGCAATGGTAATTGATTTATAAGGGATCATTTTGGAGGTGAATTATTCTTTCATGTGATTATACAACATTACAAAGCGGTAGCCGTTGTGTTTACCCACACACTCACTCAGTAGTAACCGAAATCTTCCTGGCTCGGAGTTCTGATAAGGCTCTCGCAGTGGATTTGCAACAGGCTTGAAATGAAGTGCTTACCAATACCAAATGATTACAGTGAAAGCTTTTATATCTACTTCCAACAACATCAACAACTCAGGGCTTTAGGTCTAGCTCAGCGCTCAGAAAAGATTTGGTGCTTGAATCTGTTTCGATAAAGATTTCCACTGCGTGCTTCACACGGTAGATGCCAAGAGCTCAAAACTATTTTTGTTCCAAATACACAGGTAACCGTGCGGATGGTAATGTTCAGCGGAGTCATCTGTCATGGACTGTGGCTGTCACTGCGGATTTATCACAAACACCAACAAAGGCTTGTGTCTCTTCTGAAACCCATTCATTTTGTGATGCAGACCGTTCAGCTGCCATGTTGCACATTAATCCTCTACAAAACCCTGTTACAGTAGGCTGCATTACACTTTCTGTTTACCTTTGTACAGGTATGTGTGGGAGATTACTCAACTCAACTCAACTTTATTTATAAAGCCCTTTTCAAAACAGCCGGAGCTGAAACAAAGTGCTGTACACGCCATAAAAAACAAAAACAAAACAACAATAAATAACAATATAAAAACAACAAAACCAATTAAGCATATAAAAACAAACAGAAACAGAGTCTCATGCTGGGTTAAAAGCCAAGGAATAAAAATGGGTTTTTAGGCGAGTTTTAAAAATGGACAGTGAAGGTGCTTGTCTAATGGTCAATGGGAGGCCATTCCACAGTTTGGGACCGGCAGCGGAAAAGGCTCTATCCCCTCTGAGCTTCCGTTTAGACCTCGGTACCTCCAGGAGCAGCTGATCAGCTGACCTGAGGCACCGGGCAGGAGAGTAAGGATGGAGCAGCTCTGAGAGGTATGGCGGGGCGAGACCGTTAAAAGATTTAAAAACAAATAAAAGAATCTTAAAATGGACTCTAAAATGCACAGGCAGCCAGTGGAGGGAGGCTAAAATGGGAGTAATGTGCTCCCTCTTACGTGTTCCAGTTAGAAGGCGTGCGGCAGCATTTTGGACTAACTGGAGACGTGCGAGGGAGGACTGGCTGACTCCAAAATACAGTGCATTACAGTAATCCAGCCGAGATGTAATAAAGGCATGGATTACTATTTCAAAGTGCTTGTGTCCAAGGAAGGGCTTCACCTTTGCCAGCTGCCTAAGATAAAAAAAGCTGGACTTCACTACTGTCTGTCCTTTAACCCTCCTATTGTCTTCGTTTTCCCCCCCTTACTTTGGTGTTCGCGGTAACATTTGTCCGGTCTTGTTTTAACTGCTATTACATTAACACAAGGTGTACCTAGGGACCGTGTGCGTTAATGTACAAGTCTACAGATTTAGAAACATATAAATGATTGTTCGAAGAAGTACATTTGGTATCAGGACTATGTTATAATAGTCAAACTTTCCGCGACAATTTACTTTAAACCACTCTACTNTGCTCTTGTCTATCCCACATGCTCCACTGAGATCCAACATCTCGTTTCAGGGGGCCTGTGGAACTGCCAGTCAGCTGTTCCTAAGGAGAAATGAAGTCAGCCTTAGGAACAGCTGACTGGCAGTTCCACAGGCCCCCTGAAACGAGATGTTGGATCTCAGTGGAGCATGTGGGATAGACAAGAGCAGGCCGGTTATATCGATTAGGTATACAAGCGTACCTGTCGAGCTGTAAATACACAATGCACAGCTACTCCTTGAAATATTCAACATGTATCTTGCTGAGCGCCATGAGCCAACATGGCGCTCATCTGACGAACAAAGTCTCAAGATGAATTTTCAAAATGCGTTCCAATGAATTCTCAATATGTTTCAGCTGCCGGGTCAAATAAAAGTGAACTAGTGGGAAGTCCAACACATAAAACATGGAGCGAGGTGGTCCGCTATCAGCTCGCTAGCATGTGTGTTACTGAGCTGCAGGGTGTGTGTGTCAGTGTGTGTTATTGACTGAGGGAGCCATGTGTGTTAGTTTAGTGCATGACTGCAGATTTTAGTGTTTGTGTTTGTCTGATGTTGTAGGTACAGTATGTGTTCATGTCCTTCAGCAATGCAGTGATGAGACTGTTCACTTGGGTTTTCTGGAGTGCGGTCAGTTCAGAAGAGTCTAGAAGTATCGTTCTCATCTAAATTATGTGTGTGTGTGTGTGTGTGTATTTGTAGTGACTGTGCGTCTGTCTAGTTTGAAGTGTAGCATGTTTGATCTGAGTCATGTGCCGTCTGTGTGTGTGTGTGTGTGTGTGTGTGTGTGTTTGTGTCATCCTTGTTATTGCATCTATTCATCCCAACATGAAAGATGTGGATGTGTATCTGTCTGTATGTAGTTTGTGCATTTATTCAAGTGAGTATGAGTGTGTTCTAACTTTTTTTCCTCTGTAGTCCTGTTTTAAATGTGTAGCATACATGTGTGTAAGTATATTGCACAAAGCAAATTAGGAGTCGCCTTTGAAAGTGTTTGAGTCATCTCTGCCCCCTCGGTCGACTTGAAGATCATAAAGTCGAGCCCTGCTTGTTTTGGTCAGTCATGCATTAGGCTACATAGTATTTTACAATGTGTAGTGACATTTGAACAGTGATTTGCACACAAGTGGTTGTAGGCTAGATATTCTCTACATATTTTAAATGGCGAATACACAGAAACAAAATGTCAAGAGGTGTCGATTGCCTACATAGCTGCTGACTCTTTTGATAAAAGAAAAAAAAAATCAATATATGATTCAGGTACCGGAGTGTGTTCTGGTATTCAAACACGAGGCTTAACACAGGTCCTTTCTAGCACTATGAACGGCCACACACACAGACACACAAATGGGAGATTATTTCTTTACACACTTATCAGGTGCCAGACTTCTCCCACTCTGACCTACATCTCTTCACTCTGCTCAGCCTTTTGGGCATGAAAAGCCAAAAGATAACATGAATCAGGAGTAAAAACCACTACAAGTTCACACTCTACTAACTGTACTACAGCTGAAAGCCTGACCTAACCACTCAG